ACGCTAATGTTTGTGTCACTTTTTACGGAGTCAAACTCAAAGTAATGTCAGTACTTCCAAACTTTAAATGCAGCATGGATGGACTCTCTCCCACACTCCATATTATCCATTGATCTACACACGTCTGTTGCCACGGCACTGTCATGAGACACTCTCACAAACAAAATCACGGTTCAGTAACACAGTAATGCAACATGCTTACGGGAAAGTAACTGCAATCTAATTACTGTTTTGCAATAGTAATCCCCTACTTTACTCATTACTTGAAAAAAGTAATCAGATTACACGTTACTGCCCATCTCTGTATACTGCGTATACTTGAAATTCACTGTGTCCTCCCCCTTTTTGAATACCCTTTCTCAAAGTTATTCCAAAACGTACACCAGAGGTTGTAGCGGACCGTTACATTTTCAAAGCTTTGACAAAAATATCTAATCAGCCACTTAAATGGCAGCAACTCATTGCATTTAGGCATGTAGACAACCTGCTGACGTTCAAACGGCGCATCAGAATGAAGAAAACGGGTGATTCGAGTGACTTTCATGTGTAATGGTTGTTGGTGCCAGACAGGCTGCCCTAATTAATTCAGAAACTGCTGATGTACTGGGATTTTCCCACACAAGCATTCAGACAATTGTCTAAAAAGAAAAATATCCAGTAATCAGCAGTTCCATGAATAGAAATGCCTTGTTGGTGTCAGAGGTCAGGGGAGATTGGGCCCGATTGCATTGAACTAATAGTAAGACACTAACTCGAATGTTACAGCCAAGTTTTTGTAAATATTGAAGCAGATGGGCTCCAGCAACAGAAGATCACGTTGAGTGCCACGCGTGTCAGCCAAGAACAGGAAACTGAGGCTAAAATTCATGTGGACTCCCCCAAACTGAAGAATAAAAGATCAGAATCATGTTGCCTGGTCTGATGAGTGCTGAATTTTACTGTGACATTCAGATGGGTCACAGAATTTAACATAAACAATATGAAGACATGGATTCATCCTACCATGCATTAATATTTCAGGCTGTAATGATCTACACTATCAGTCAAAAGTTTGGACACACCTTCTCATTTTGTGTTTTTTCTTTATTTTTACTACTTTCTACACTGTAGATAGAAACTGAAGACATTGAATATATGGAGCATAAATCCAGATATAAATGTAATATATATCTGGATTTATGTAGCAAAGACAAAATGATAAATAACTCTAAATATGTCCTATATTTTAGATTCCTGAAAGTAGCCACCCTTCGCTTTGTTGACAGTGCTGCAAACCCTTGTCAGGGTTCATTTGTTGAGTTTCTTGCCTTCTTAGTGGGGTTGGGACCCCACTCTTAAAATTCACATTATGGCAAGAACAAATCAGCTAGTTAAAGAGAAACAACAGTCCATCATTACTATAAGAACTGAATGTCAGTCAGTAGGTAAAACTGCTAAAACTTTGAATGTGCAGTTGCAAAAACCATCGAGCGCTCTGTCAAAGCTGGCTCACATGCTACTGGGGATTAATTCATCCAAGTCACCAGCCTCAGAAATTGCAAGTTAACATCCCCTCAGATCAGAGCCCAGATAAATGCCACACAGAGTTCCAGTAGCAGACACATCTCTACATCAACTGCACAGAGCAGACTGTGTGAATTAGGCCTTTATGGTCAAATAACTGCTAAGAAACCACTACGGAGGAAAAACAACAAGCAGAAGAGATTTGTTTGGGATAAAAAACACAAGGAGTGGACATTAGACCAGTGGAA